CCCCCAGTTCATCAGCACATGCGTCTGCCCCAAGCCCCCCAGGGATGCTCCTGGCTCTGGAGCGTCTGCCCCCCGGGTTCAAAGGGCCAGTTGCAGCGGAGATCCCAGCCTAAGGGTGGGTGCCGAGGGGGGGGGCGGGAAGCTCCAGATGTGCCAATAGCCCCCAGCAGTGTGTGTGCCCGGGGGGGGGGGGGGGGGGGGGGGGGGCAACCTCCAGCTGCTCCCCTCTCATCCTCCACACCCCAAACCAGCCTTTCTGGGGGGGGAAGGGGGTGCTAACCCAGGAACAGTTGCTCTGACCCCCCCATCACAGCTGGGAGCAGCACCCTCCCCCAAGTTCCTGGCAACCCCCAGCCCCAACTGGTGGCTGCAGAGGGACATTCGGGGCAAATCTGGGAGCCGCCCACTGTCCCCCCCCCCAAGAGTTTACCAATGGGGTGAAGGGGGGCCACGGCTGCTAGGGAAGGGGGTCAGCCCCCATACCTGAGAACACACATCGCTTTACAAACAGTATTAAGTTAATTACAGTACAAAGGCGTAGGGGGACCCGTCCCACTCGCCTCCCACTAGAAGCCGGGGTGTGGGGGGTAACGGTGGGGGAGGGGGGAAGATGGGGCCAGTCCCCTCCCCCACTACAGTACTGTTGTGAGTGCTCTATACAAGGATTCCCCTGCTATGGGGGCATCCCCAAAACCAGCCCCCCAGCAGGGCTTTGAGGGGGGCCCCAAGGCCGCGCTGGATGGAGGGGGCAACCGGCTTTTACACCCGGGGAGGCGCTGTGCACAGCACTGGGGGGGCGGGAGGACAGAGGCACCTGGCATTGGGGCACCCCAGACAGAGGCTCCTCATGGGGGGACCCTGCCAGACTGGGGGGGGCATTGGAAATCCCCAGGGAGGTGTTGAGGGGCGAGGGGGAGCTGAGCAGCAGAGGGGGAAGTCAAAAGAGGGGGGCCCCCTGACGGGTGTTTTGGGGAAGGAAACTGAGTCTGCCAGGTCACGGGCAGCCAGGCCTGAGTCCGCCCCCCTCAGCTCCCCGCAGAACGGATCTCGCTGGGGGAATCAGTGCCGGACCTCGGCCCGAGTTCGGCCCCCGGAGCCGGCTCCGGCCCCCGCGACCTCGGCCTGAGTTCGGCCCCCGGAGCCGGCTCCAGCCCCCGAGATCTCGGCCCAGGATTCCCCGCGGGCAGCCAGCCCGGCAGGGAGTTAAACGCCGACCAGCCCCAGGTGGGGCTCAAGGCCTCTCAAGTCTCTGCCCCAGATGCAGGAGAGCGTCCGGCCCCACGGAGCGGCCGTGTCCAAAGACGTCGGTCCTGATCCGGGAGGCGCAGCGTGGGGTCCCGAGAGGTTTGTTTCGAGTTGAGCACAAGGCACCGGGAATCGCGGAGGGAGCGAGGCTGGACGAGGGGAGCCGGCCCCGGGGAGCCCAGCGCAGTCTGGCCAGACGTGGGGTGCCGCAGAGCGCACCCCACCCCCGCCCTACGACATCTTCCAGATGGTGAGGGAGGCGGTGAGCACGCCAGCAGCGAAGATGGTGATGGTCTGCCAGGTGGGCGTGCCGAAGTAGGAGAGGAGGCCGTCCTGGGGGAGGGGGGGGAGAGAGCAAAGGGCACCACTGAACCGTCATACGAATGAGGCTGACATGCGGCTGGCTCTGGGGTGGGGGCAGCGCCACACAACGGGTTTGGGATCGCTGGGAGGCAGCAGAGTCTAGTGCATTTGGAACTGGGCTGGGAGCCAGGACTCCTGGGTTCTCTCCCCAACTCTGGGAGGAGAGTGGGGTCTAGTGATTAGAGCAGGGGGGGCCTGGGAGCCAAGACTCCTGGGTTCTCTCCCTGGCCCTTGCAGGGGAGTGGGGTATAGTGGTGGTGGGGTGGGAAAGAGTGGGGTGGGCTGGGAGCCAGGACTTTAGACTCTGTCGCTGGACACATTGGCTCTGCATTGGTATCCCAGCTGGGTTTGTTTCGGGGGGGGGGGGGGGCCCACAGGGCCCTTTCCACACACACACACACACACCCCTCCGTCAGCCCAGCACGAGTCAACTCTCCAGCGAGCCCTTCTCCTCGGCCAACGGTCGCCCCCGGCCATCAGCAAAACACCTCGGGGCCCTGTGACCTCGGACTCCAGCCTGGCCGGTGACTTTCCACGCGCAGGGGCTGGGTTTGGGCCCGTGGCCGAGGAGATAAACGACCCCGGAGACGTCTCCAGCGTGTCCCTGATTCTCCGGCCCGTGGATTTCCAAGCACGAGGAGCGTTTTATGCTACGGCGCGAGGCCCTGCCCAGCCCCTGCGTGTCCCCCGAGAGACGCCACGAGCCGGCAGCCTGTCCCGTCCCTGCCGGGAACCCGCTCGAAGCTTTGTGGTTCCTGAACCCCAGTTAGAAGTGGAGGTTCGGGGACGGCCCGGGACACAGGCTGACCTGATTCCTTGGGACGGGGAGAAGCTGACGCAGGGTGAATTTGGTTTTCAGTCGCTAGACGCCGTTTTGTTACCGGTTTGGTGAATCTAACTGTAGAATAACCCACCGGCTTTGGAGGTGGTCACGACTTAGGCACCTTCGCTAGCTATGCAAATTAGGACAGTGCCTCATTTGCATGCAGCCTGGGGGGTAACGGGGGAGGGAGGGCGGCCGGCGCTGGCTGGACTCACCCATCCTCCCTGGGCCTGGATCCAGGCCAGCACATGATCCCGGAGGTACTCCAACGTCCAGCCCACGATGGTCCGCACCAGCTCGGGGACCTTGGTGCACAGAGCCTGGGGGAAGAGAGGGGCAGCAGGGTAAGGGTGGCTGGTGAACCAGTGGCGGGAGGGGGAGCACATTCAGGAAGGGAGGGGCAGCCGGGGGCTGTACAGGGGGGAGGGATCTCACAGCCAGGGGGAGGGGTAGCAGAAGGGCTGTGGGGGGTGGGAGGGGAAGCAGAGGGCCATGGGGGAGGGGGGTTACAGCGGGGGGGGGGGGAAGGGGGGGGTCTCCCAGCAGCCCCACCTTGAGCACCAGCTTGCAGGCGAAGTAGAAAAGCGCCACGACCCGGCCCCAGTTGAAGGTCCCGTCGGAGAACATCTCGGCAGCCACGCGGAAGAAGACGTCTTTGGGGGCGTGGGCCCCCACCCGGTCAATCATACTGCGGGGGACAGAGGGTTAGAGCCAGGCCGGGGGGGGGTTTGCCGGGGGGAGGGGGACAATCCTGCCGCCCCAGAGGAAGAGGTGACGAAAAGGTGAGACCGCCTGACTCAGTTTCCCCACTTGGGGAAGGGTTAACGTGGAAGAGGGGCCAGCTGGAGTCAGGGAGGGTCGAGACTCGTCTGGGGGTGGATGGAGCGGGGAGCCAAAGGAGCTGGGGGAGGCAGGCAGGCATTTTGGGGGCTGCCCAGGGCAGAGAGATGGACCCAGGAGTCCGGAGGGGAGGGGGGCTCTGCTGGGGCTGGCACAAGGCAGAGGGGGCTGCCCGAGGCCGTAGAGCTCCCGGAATCGGATGGGGCATACAGGGGACGAGATGGGGGGGCCCCCCACCTCTGCAGTTCGGTATTGTTGTCGAGCTCGTCCCCGATCCGCCGCAGGCACTCGCTGAGCCGCTTGGTGTTCTCGTCGCAGGGGGGGGGCTCCGGCCCCCCCAGCTCTGCCCGGCTCAGCTCCACCGCCTGGGAGTCCCCGCAGCGCTGGGCCCGGTCCCGGATGAACCTGTCGCGGGGGGGACGGGGTTAGCCGCGCGCCAGACGCTGAGACGCAGCCCCCAACCCCCAGCCCCGCGACAGGGCTCTGTCCCCTCCCCTGACACAGCCCCGTACCTGAACCCCCAGCCCCATGACACCCCCACCGACAGCCCCATACCTGAAACCCCAGCCCTGTGATACAGCCCCATCCCCCCCCCGACAGCCCCATACCTGAAACCCTCAGCCCCAAGACACAGCCCCCAAACCCTCTGACACGGCCCTGTCCCCCCGACAGCCCCATAC